AAAGAAAGCTACAGTGGGTTTGAGTTCCACATTTATGACACCGTTTCTCTCATTCAGCTGTAAATACTCTTAATTCAAACCACAACTGAGCATCAGATCTGTATATCTTTAAATGTAAATCTTGTGTTATAGAGCAGAGACCCAACACAACTTGAGATAATGTTTATTGTGGTTCAGCGCTACAACAATAAAAGTTAAATAAACTCCAATACAAAACCGTTAATAATTGTAATCCAGTTTAAAAGATGTTTGCCTTTCCAGTTAGTTTTCTTGGTGTAAACTTGAGGTGAAATGTTCACTGCAACACATTTTTGTCATTGAATCATAAATATTGTACTGTTATTATACAATTATATCCTCTGGTTCATTTCTGAACATGATTTGAGATACTGAAATATTTATATTTTTTTCCTGTAAAAGGTGTTTGCAGTTGCTGTTGCTACAATTATCATTTGTCCAAAAGATCCAAACAGAGTAATTAATTTAGATGATGGACATATTATTATTCATTTGAAAGATAAACAACACGAAAGGATTTTGTTGCGCAAGTGTTTGCATCCATTATGTTATTTTTGACATCCTGTGTAGTTGTGCTGTTTTTCTTCCACCAAGTAAAAGTGAAAAAGCCAGCTGATATAAGTAGGGATCCTGATTGCCTGACTCTGCCTGCCACTACAAAAAATGCATCATGAAATGCTTTTCAACAGACATGTAGTGAAAATAAATACCAAGACACCCGGAGGCCTTCTAGAGTAGACTACAGCTGTTTTTTGCACAATGTATAAAGTTATATAAAGAAACACACACAAGAAAGTATTTGAAAAAAGAGATGGACATGTAGAGTAAACTGACAAATACAGCCACAACGTGTCTGTCACGAGAGGGAAAGATTCGATCGTTTGTTGTATTAAACATATTCAAAATTTCACCTTCAGAGCATGTGAGATGATATTCAGTTCTCTGGGCCATTAAATGAACAGATGATGTAAATCTTATTGACGAAGAATGACTGTCAATTTGTTTTCAAGCCTGATGTGACGTGAAAAAGGACGAAAAGATAAGTTTGTCTATTTCTGTTGTTTCTGGAGAGCCCGGCTACAGTCTGTGATTTTCTTTCTTGAAGTTTTAGGCGTGCCCTGCAAGTGAAGCCTGTGCACACGATTGTAGGCCCTGTTATTTTCCTCCTGCCTTTGATGAGCCTGCCAACCACAAAGAAAATCACATTATCCTGATACCACCACGGTAGACCCGGTACACGCTGTTTGATAAAAAAACAAAGGGGCGTCTGTTTTTGATGTATGTTGTTCTGGCACACAAAAGAAAAGAAAAAATGGTTCAGAAACATTGTGAGCATGTTGGTATACAAAAACTTATAACAGATTTAACCTAGTCTGTTTGTGTGGAAAAAGAATATGTCAAAAACTGATATTTAACAGAAAAATGAAAACTTGCAAAAAAAGAAGAAAAAAAAAAGATAAGCACAAATGTGTCGATAGTGTCTGCTGTTCCTCCACAGTTGTATAACATTATCAAATAAAACGTCGACTCTGCAGCGCAACCGAGCTCCTGCAAAACAGAGCGATTCTCACCAGAGGCTGTGGAATAAATGTCAGTAAATACAATTTCGGCTTCTTTCAAATGACATAAATCTGTCTATTAAAGTTTTTATAATGTTTAAATTATACATAGATTTACTCCTTTAACTTCAAATTGGATATGAGCGGTAACAACAAAACCTCCGTATCGAGAGTCGCCCTGTATTCCAGGTGTGAGGTCCCATGACTTTGTCTGACTTTAGAGACAATACAATTCATCTGAGCGTGTTTAGATACGAAGCATAGTATAGTCATTTTGAAAAATGTATGAGTACAACCAATAAACAAGACATTGTGTACAGCGACCTATGAGTTGTACTTATTCCTTGGTGTATTAAGAAGTTCATTTTAATTAATGAAGTTCATTTGTTTTGATTCTCGCCATGTTTCTGCTGGGGCAATGGAGGTCAGGAAAAAGTTACATTCAGAAAGTAGTTATAATTAATTGTAGATTAAAAGTTAATTTATGACTGGGGGACAAATCGGCTGCATCTCAGTTGCATTTCAAATAGCATCAGTGTTGTTGTTTTCCTGATATGCACTGATTGACTGGAAATTGTGGGAAAGTGTTTATATTTTTAAGAGACTTAAAATCCTTGCATGCAGCCAAATGCCCTGTTTACAGTTTATAAGACATTATTATGGTTTAATGTGAGTTTCACTGTGATTGTTTCATCAAATCAAATTAATTTGGACATTTATGATGGCTGTGTCCAAATTCATATACTTTTACTACATAGGGTAATAATTGCCACATTGTACCAAACAGTAAAGACACAAAGCAATAATGATTTGTGTTTTTTACCTCTGCCAAGGAGGTTACGTTTTCACCACTGTCCATTTGTTTGTCAGCAGGATGATGCTAAATTTACTGGAAAGATTACCTGGCAACTTAGAAGAGGTAAGTGGTTTGAGTCATGGAAAAATCTATAACAATTTTGGTGCAGATCCAGATTTTTTTTCCCCACTTTAACAAACTTTGTGTTTCTTAACATTTTCACAGTTTTGGGGACTGATATAGTTTGTGCAATTGGGTGCAGCTTGATTGTGGGATAGGGGACAATATGCAAAAGTGCATAAGTGAACGAAAGTGATTTCAGAAAGAGAATAGTGCAGAGTGCAGAATAAAGAGCAAATTCAAAATAACTCTTTAAATTACAAAGCTGCTGTTTTCTTTTTTCTTCACTGGTTATAGCAGAACTCAACCCCCTAGACAGACCGCCTTAACAAAGCAGATACGGTAAAGAGCCTTCGCTTAAAGGTCAGGCAGAATTACAGCTGTCAACAGACTGACAGTGAGAGGGGAAAACAAACA